AATGTAGTTGAGTTGACTCAATTGTGTGCGTTGGGTGAATTTTTCTACATCTCAAACTTAAGGTTAATGCCATCAAAGTATAAAACAAAATAAGATAACAAATAAATATATAAATAGTAGAAATAAATTATTTATAAATATAATTTATTCAAATACATGTACCTTTCAATATACTATGCATAAATTAAAATAGTCAATAAATTTTAAAATATGCAAAAAAGCTAGCAATGTTATTCGCCCTCTTTGATCATTTGTCAAAGCGTGATGGCAGATGTCAACTTCTGCAAATGAAAGTAATTGAAAAATTGAGCAAACTTTTTCAACATTTCACCTTTCTTAGAACAAAAATAATGTTTTTTTTATTCAGAGTATGTTGGATTTTTGAGAAAATATTTTTTCCTTCTTTTCACGTGTTTTTATTGGGAAAATATTGTTTCTTTTATTCCACTTAATTTTTTATCTTGTTTTCATTTTTGCGGTATTTCTAGAGTTTGGCATACACCCCTATAAATACTATATTATTTTCACAAGTTTTATATTATTCAAATATAGAATAATTATGTAGTCGGAATTATTATATTTGTTTTCTCCATATGTGAATTGAATAAAATACTCAGTTCATCTGCCACTTAATTCTTTGCATTTTATCTTGTTGTTTGTTTGCAATCAATACTTCATATCGTGTCATATATATTATATCAATTCATTTTTATTTTTAACAAATATAAGTGACGTTGAATACTTAATTTCAATTTCCTCATAATTGAAAGCAAGACATGACTTAATTCCCTGTTTGATGTACATTTTGAGTTCAAGAATGTATTTTTTTTGGTTTGATGTGGTGTGGAATATGTGGTTGAAAAAGAAGAAAAAATTATTGATGTGATGAAAAATATTATTTTATTGAAGAATATATTGTTAAAAATGAAAATGAAAAATATAACGTGTCTCAAACATGGACTAAGTGGATTCTTTGTCACTGAGTTTGACGTTGATTTTGTGAGTTTTTGAGGAGGAAGTCATTATTCATTGGAGTGATATCATTGCTGAAGTCTAAAGACATAATTATTGTAAATCCCACGGAAGGACAAGACTAAAAACATCCTATGCCTATGCGACAACTGTGCATGTTATTTTGGATAAATCTAGTGATTCGACTTTAAGTTTAGTGCGCAACTTTCGTTTCACTCCTACCATCCGACTTTATATTTAGTATCATCATGATCATTAAATTTAATTTAATTTAATAACGACCATCCAACTTTTTTTTCACCATTTTTACTAATTTTAAAATAGATAAAACGATAATTTTACATTATAGATATAAAATAAAATAAAATAAAATTTTATTTTAGAAAAAAGTGTTCAAAATAAAATAAAAACTTATTTTAAAAGAACGTTACTTAGAAAAATAAAATAAAATAGAAACTTATTTTAGAAAAAAAAACATTTTAAAATAAAATAAAAACTTTTATTTTTGTTTTTTAAAATTTATTTTATGTATATAATGCAAAGTTACTATTTTACTCCTTCTAAAATTAATAAAAATGGTGAAAATAAGTTGAATGACCATGGTGAAACGTTATATAAAATTTGTTGATTATGGTGATAATAAGTATAAAGTTGGGTGATGATGTTAAAACAAAACCAAATTGAGTGATACTAAGCATAAAGTTGGATGATCATAACAAAATAAAATCAAATTGAATGATTACCATGGCTCTAAATAAAATTGGATGGCTTATAAGTGAATTTAACCCTGTTATCTTTATATACATGGTCCACGGATTAGATATTTGGATCAGATTGTCTCGCAGTAACAGAAATGGAGGGGAAACAAGAATGCCTGGTTTTTGCAGTAAATGGAGAGAGGTTTGAGGTCCCAAATATTGATCCTTCAACTACTTTGCTCCAATATTTACGCTCCCACACCCGTTTCAAGAGTGTCAAGCTTGGCTGTGGCGACGGTCTGTATCTGCAATCTGCATGTGCATGTTCTTTGATTAAGAATTCTTCAAGTCTTAGTTCTCGATGTTGTGTGTTTTGTTTTTGGTACTTTTCTGTTGTTTTGATTCTTTCTTTGGATAGTTCTTCAAGGGATTAATTGGGTTTTTATTAATTAGTGGATACTATACTATATTGTTAAAAAGACGGCTCAAGTAGTTCGGGGACAGTAATTTTCGAAGGAAATAAATAACGTTTATCTGCCTCGTGAAATCTTGCCTAGTGGTTGAGTTGCCTTTCCTATGGATGGTTCTTACTGATTTATTGTGTTCCAAGTTTGTGGCTTCAGTTACCTTCTCTATTTTCTAACCATACTGATCCTTTCATGCTTTTCAATTGACTGTTTCAGGTGGCTGTGGTGCTTGTGTTGTTCTGCTGTCGAAATATGACCCTGTACTTGATCAGGTCGAAGATTATACAGTGAGTTCATGTTTGACACTTCTTTGCAGCTTAAATGGATGCTCAGTTACTACGACCGAAGGCCTTGGAAATAGTAAAGATGGTTTCCATCCAATTCATCAAAGATTTGCAGGCTTCCATGCTTCTCAATGTGGCTTTTGCACCCCTGGGATTTGCATGTCGCTTTACTCAGCTCTCATCGATGCTGAAAAAACACCCCGTCCAGAACCTTCGCCTGGATTTTCCAGGCTGACAGCATCTGAAGCTGAAAAGGCTATAGCAGGAAATCTTTGCCGGTGCACTGGATATCGACCCATTGCTGATGCCTGCAAAAGTTTTGCTGCTGATGTTGACATCGAAGATTTGGGGATCAATTCCTTTTGGAGGAATGGAGATACTAAGGAAGTGAAAGTAAGTAGACTACCTTCCTACAATCCTAAGGATCATATTTGTACATATCCTCAATTCTTGAAAGACGAGCATTGTCCTGAAATGCATATGAATTCTAAAGGATGTTCTTGGTACAGCCCTGTATCTATTGAGGAGCTTGAAAAATTATTGCATTCCAGTGTAGCTGAAAATTGTACAAGGATTAAGGTAGTTGTTGGTAACACAGGGACCGGTTATTACAATGAAATAATAGATTATGACAAATATATTGATCTGAGGTATATTCCCGAGCTTTCAGTCATTAAAAAGGATAACTTGGGAATCGAATTTGGAGCTACCGTGTCGATATCCAAAGCTATTTTCAGTTTAAAGGAAGAAAATATAATCAATGTCTGCCCAGGTGGAGAACTGGTTTTTAAGAAAGTTGCTGAACATATGGAGAAAATAGCTTCGGGGTTCATTAGAAACTCAGCTAGTATTGGGGGTAACTTGGTCATGGCACAGAGAAATTATTTTCCTTCTGATATAGCTACATTACTTCTTGCATTGAGTTCTAGTGTCAGCATACTGACAGGTCGTAAACGTGAAAAGATTACTCTGGAACAGTTCTTTTCGAGGCTGCCTTTGGACCCCACAAGTGTGCTTCTAAGTGTTCACATTCCATATTGGGAACCTATTGAAAGTGCTGATACAAATGAATCTAATCATAAGTTATTGTTTGAAACCTATCGTGCTGCACCACGGCCCGTTGGTAATGCATTACCCTATTTAAATGCTGCCTTCTTGGCAAAAATTTCTTTTCATAAAGATGAAGTGCTAGTGAAAAACATCCAGTTGGCTTTCGGAGCTTATGGCGTCAAACATTCAACAAGGGCAAGGAAAGTTGAAGAACATCTGACTGGAAAAATACTTAGCCTAGATATTCTAGCTGAAGCAATCAAATTAGTTAAAGATTCTGTGATACCAGAAGTCGGTACATCATTTGCTGCTTACAGGTCAAGCTTAGCTGCCAGCTATCTTTTTGAATTTCTTTTTAATCTCACCGGTCTTGATTATGCAATTTCTGGTGATGAACTGAACGGAAATTTGCTAGACGAAGGTTTGGAAAGCAAGAATGATAGTGATATCAGTCAAATCGCAAGGCCAACGTTGCTGTCATCCGCAAAACAGGTCGTGGAATCAAGTAGAGAGTATTATCCGGTGGGTGAACCAATGATAAAATTCGGTGCTGCCATCCAAGCTTCTGGTTTGTTGTGCCTTCTTTCAGTTTTGTGAGTTTATTTTAGCTATAAGTGTAACTGTTAGGAATATTGGGTCTAGCTCCACCTAATAAAATCAGTTTTTTAGGGGAGGATTGCCCTCACCTTATTAAGTGGATCATTTATATTTTCCCAAACAATGTGGGATTCTAATATCTACAGATACAAAAATTCAAGAAGTAAATAATTGAAACCATAACGGAGGACATAATAAGACACAATGTAGTGATTCTAATAGTAACTGCAGGTGTTTCTTATCGAAATTTCCTAGAACTTGCTCAAAACATCATCCTATGCTTTCTGATTATTAGAGAGGTTCAAATATTCTTGAAAAAGAAAACTGATAACTCCTTTTGAAAACAAGAGCTTTTGTGAGGAAAATTGTGAACTAGACAACTAATCTAGGCAGGGACACATTATAGTAATTTTTTCTATCCGAGGCATAAACAAAGACAGTGATAATCAGGCTCTCTAAAGGACTCATATAAAGCATGTACTCAATTTTTTCCTCGCTTTAGATTGTTTTGTTTCTCATCATACCATTCTTTCTTATCATACAGACAACTGTTTTCTCCTGTAATAATACGTGTATGCATAATATTATTAATCTTTTTCCACGGAATTTAGTAGAGTACACATCTTTTGATAGCTTTTCTGAATTCTGTATGAGCTCTGTATTTTTTTATTTTTTTTGATCGGTAAATGTGAATTTGTATGAGCTCTGTATTACCCTTACTTCTCATTGCTCATAAAACTCCATTGCTTAATCAACTGTGTTTTTCCCAAATGGGTTTGTGTGTTCACATGTAATCAACACTAAAGTAGCTTGTATCTCTATAGTTATGCTGACTAGTCCTGCAGGTGAAGCCGTGTATGTGGACGACATTTCATCACCTCCAAATTGTCTGCATGGAGCATTTATCTATAGCACCAAGCCTTTAGCACGAGTGAAGGGAATATCATTCAAGTCTAACTCGCTTCCAAAAGGGGTCACTGCTGTCATCTCCTTCAAAGATATCCCAAAAGAAGGAGCAAATGTGGGAAGTAAGGAGGGATCTGTTTTTGAACCTTTATTTGCTGATGATCTCACTCGGTATGCTGGTGATCGCATTGGATTTGTGGTAATTCTTTGTTCCCCACTGCAATTCTGCTCGGATTAGGATGTTCCCAGCTATTGGATTTTCACGCCCATGAAATTGTTGTAAATGTAATTTTCTCTAGCTTGCAGAGACACAGAAGTCTGCTGATGTGGCTGCAAAATTGGCACTGGTTGAATATGACACTGAGAGTTTAGATCCACCCATTTTAACCGTTGAGGAGGCCTTGGAGAGATCAAGTTTTATTGAGGTTCCTTCTCACCTGCATCCAGCAAAAGTGGGTGATTTTCCAAAAGGAATGGTTGAAGCTGATCACAGTATTCTCTCTGCAGAGGTACTTCTGATTAGCTTATACTATTTTATTTGTTTTCACAAGAAGGAATAATAGTTAATAAAATAACTAATATTTTGTTTATTGATTGTGGCATCAAGATTGAACTTGGATCACAATACTACTTTTATATGGAGACGCAAACTGCACTTGCAATTCCAGACGAAGACAACTGCATGGTGGTTTATAGTTCCATTCAATGCCCTGAATATGCACATAGTGTAGTTGCAAGGTGTCTTGGCATTCCTGAGCATAATGTCCGTGTTATTACAAGAAGAGTCGGTGGAGGCTTTGGTGGAAAAGCAAGCAAAGCTAGCCCTGTGAGTGTATATTAACATGAGAGAGAGTTTTCTTCATCATATTTTTATCATTGTCGTGACTGTGCTTTTAAATGCAGTAATACTCGTGCTTGGTACTAGTCTAGCTATCAATTAATTGATTGGATATCTACTACTTCATTTAAAATGTCTAATCCTTAAATATGGACAGCCAGACTGATGCTAAGCATCAGTGGAGCTAAATAGCATTTTTCTTTTAAATGAGGTTGTTCAATGTGGTAAAAAAGTAAATTGATTGTGTCATCAATTGATTACTGTTATACACTCTTCCCCTATCTTTTTAAAATGTGTAATATTCAGGTTGCTACGGCTTGCGCACTTGCAGCACACTGCTTACGTCGTCCAGTAAGGATATATCTTGATCGTAAGACTGACATGATAATGGCCGGAGGAAGACACCCTATGAAGATAACTTACAGTGTCGGATTCAAATCTAATGGGAAGATCACTGCTTTGCATCTCGATATACTAATTAATGCAGGGCAAACTATAGATGCAAGCATCATAATGCCACGAAACATGGTAGGTGCACTTAAAAAGTATGATTGGGGTGCTCTATCTTTTGATATAAAGTTATGCAAGACAAACCACTGTGGCAAAACTGCTATGAGAGCTCCAGGAGAGGTGCAGGCTTCTTTTATTGCTGAATCTATATTAGAAAATGTAGCTTCCGTGCTTTCATTGGATGTCGATTCTGTGAGGAGCAAAAATCTTCACACATATGAAAGCCTTAAGTTGTTCTATGGGAGTGCTGCTGGGGATTCCGTAGAGTATACTTTGCCTACTATTTGGGATAAGGTAGCTAGATCATCGATCTTTGCTCAAAGGGTAGCACTGATAGAACAGTTCAATTCGTGCAACAGCTGGCGCAAGAGGGGTATTTCGCGAGCACCAATTATGTTTGAAGTGACTGTAAAACCAGCCCCTGGGAAAGTAAGCATTCTTTTGGATGGATCTATTGTTGTAGAAGTTGGAGGGATAGAGATGGGCCAGGGGCTCTGGACAAAGGTAAAACAAGTGACAGCATATGCTATCAGTAAAATTCAATGCGATGGAACTGAAGACCTGGTGGAGAAAGTACGAGTTGTACAGTCGGACACCTTGAGCTTAGTACAAGGAGGGCTTACTGCTGGGAGCACTACGTCCGAAGCAAGTTGTGAAGCTGCAATACTATGCTGCAACTTCTTGGTTGAAAGACTAACCCCTCTTAAGAAAAAATTGCAAGATCAAATGGGTTCTGTCACTTGGGATATCCTGATTCTCCAGGTTTCCCTTTTCATTGTCTGAATTTTCATAGTTTCATAGCATAAATAGATATTACAATAGAAATGTGTGAAACTAAAAATAAAGGGACTCAAAATTTCCATGGTTAGGCTTATTTAAGCCTATGTCTATGTGCAACGACGATGATTCGACTGGAGAATTTAAGGATTCTTCACTTCAAAATCATCAATCCCCTCCATAACTGAACTCCGTCTCGAGAAATGGCTCTAGGTAACCTTAACTACAAACTTATATGCACTGGTTCAGGTTAACACACTGAAAACCAAGTCCACCATCTGCCCTTTTTTACTTCATGAACTAAATTCTAATTGAACTTCACGATTGTCCAAAACTGGCTTGTGTCATAGAAAGTCCGTATCTCTGTTCACCCTTTTCTATTTGCATATTTATCATTCTTATTGTTGCCATTGATATCTTCGACTAATAGAATTTAAACATGTTTGACCTCTCGGAACATTTTATATAGAGATTCTTGTGACAATTTACAACGCTTTCTGAGTGCAGGCACATGATTATTCTGTAAATTTAGCAGCAAGTTCTTACTACGTGCCAGAGTCTGGTTCTGGGGGGTACTTGAATTATGGTGCTGCAGTAAGTGAGGTAAACTTAACTTCAAAACCCTTCTTTTCTTTTTACCATTTACTGATATTCACTTGCGGTTTAGCACATGCAGAAGTGCGCAAATCGTTCCTCGAGAATATGAACATTATTGTATATATTTTTCATCGATTTAGGCCCCCACCCCATGGATAAGGTCTAATATAAGTTACATGGCTGTTGCAGGTCGAGGTAAATGTTCTGACCGGAGAAACAACAATACTGAGAGAAGATATCATTTATGATTGTGGACAGAGCTTGAACCCTGCTGTGGATTTAGGACAGGTTTATGACTACAAAATTCTTTTACTGTTTGTTACTTGTATGATCATTAAGTAATTCTGAAATCTAAATAGTCACAATGCTTGAGCTATTTAGGTTGTCGTAATGAGTCACCACTCTGGACTAATTACTTCAATGTGCGCGATTTCTTTACATTTTCGATTGATAAAAAGTGACTACAAAACTACCTTTTACAGATTGAGGGGGCTTTTATACAAGGAGTCGGCTTCTTTATGCTCGAAGAGTACCTTACTAATGCAGACGGATTGGTGGTTACCGACAACACATGGACATACAAGATTCCAACAATCGATACCATACCTAAACAGTTCAATGTCGAGGTGCTAAATAGTGGACATCACCAAAAACGCGTTCTTTCTTCCAAGGGTATGTTGTTCAACTTTCTAAACTCATTTGACGGAGAATTTTTCCACTCTAAGTGTGAATTTGTCTTTTATATAGATGTTGGCTTAATTCTGTTGGGAGGGAAAAGATAGTTAAAAAAGTCTGAAGATGCATATCAGTATGTATTTTGTTCTTAAAGATGAACTACTTTTTGCAGCTTCTGGTGAGCCACCATTGCTATTGGCAGTTTCAGTGCATTGTGCTACAAGAGCAGCCGTTAAGGCAGCCAGAAAACAGCGTAAATCTTGGGGAGCGTTAGACGAGACTGATTCAACATTCGAGTTGGAAGTCCCTGCTACAATGCCCGTTGTTAAGCAACTATGTGGCCTCGATTCTGTGGAGTGGTATTTGCGTAGCTTGCTCACTCGTTGATTAAGCTAAGTAATTACGTGAACGCAGCATTGGATATGACTAGATGTACAACGAGTGACAAAGAAGACATGATAAAAAATAAAGTTAGTTTTTTAGTTTAAAATATCTTTAATGTAAAAATTCTAATTTTTTGTTCTAAACTAGTAAAAATCGTCATCAATCCGTATTTTGGATGGACAGCTCGATGGTGCGGCCAATGGCCCCACTTGGTGCTGAAGCCTGAAGTAGGTTCTTAGGTTGGTAACGCATCGGAGAAGCGTGAGAAATAAGAAACATAAATACTAAATAGTGTATCTTAATTTACGTAGAACATCGAGATAAATTTAAAATTTATCAGTTTTATTAATTTATCAAAATCAACAAAATAAAAGAGTATAAAAAAAGTGTTTAAATTCTAATTAGGGGAGGGCAAAAAAACTGAAAAATCAATTAATCCGACGGAACCAAACCGAGTCGGGTCGGTTTGAATTGGTTTGAACCAAAAAATTGGTTTGATTCAGTTAATTTTAACCATTATAATGTCAGGTCGGGTTGGATTGGTTGCGGTATAAGCAACCAACCTCTCAATTAACCGATCCAACCAGCAAATACATTTTTTTAATTTTTTTTCATTTTAAATTTCATCTTCTTAAATTTCAAAAAAATATATATAAAAACACAAATATAATTATTTCTAATTTATTTACCGTCTACGTTTTTCTACCAAATCTCCAAATTTTGAAAGAAAATAAAGTAAGAAGTGTTTATTATAAATTCCAAATTTAGATGGTATCATTGATTTTCATTTTTGGTATAATTGTTTGTTTGTAACTATCGAATATTTATGATAATTTTGGAAAAATCAACCACTACCATTTATATTATATATATTATTGAAACGCAAGCAAAAAAATAAATAAATAATATATATAT